TAAAGAATAAAGCCTACTTCAAGAGATATCAAGTAAAATTCCGAAGAAGGAGAGGTATGTTTCACTTTTTTATAGTCTTTCAGCAAACAAAATAGATGACAGCTTGTACCTTCTGTTAATAGATATGTTCCAATTTATCATCTTTCTCTTTCAGAGGGAAAGACTGATTACTATGCTCGTAAGCGTTTGGTAATTCAAGATAAAAACAAGTACAATACTCCTAAATATAGGATGATTGTACGTGTTACCAACAGAGATATCATTTGCCAGGTAAGGTCACCTTTCCATCCTTGAGTATGCTGGGGGGGGGGTTGTTACACACTTTATAAATATCCTTTTTAGAATTCCCTCATGCAGGAATTTTGTAATGTCTGATAGCCTTTAACTCAGGAAAGAAATGTGTTTAATTTTTAAAGGGGAAATAATATTTTCTCTCAAGAGTTTGATGATTGTGCAAAAACTATTTTGAAAACTTTAGAATAATTCTTTTCTGTGAATACCATTTTCCAGGGCAGCATCTGGCCCTCCAGGCTTCCTAGAGGGCCAAGCCCCTAACCCTGGCCATCAATCATTTGGTGGTTTCCCAGCTTCTGTCCAGTTCCACCCACTTTAAATGATTAAAAGGATTAGTTACTGATAAATACTTAAAAGAGTTTCAGCCCTGTCCCTTTTAGTTATGCTGCTCTAGCTTTTTGACCAGTCCTGTTCATCACTGGACTACCGCTCCCAAGATTCCAGCTCCCAGGCTTAAATGGAATTTGGCTCTTGCACTGGAAGAATCCCTGCCTTAGGGGATGCCTAATGCATTTGGCCCCAACCTATGGAACTTGCTTCCAGCAAATGAGCACTAAACATTGTAGATCTGCAAAAGGCCAACAACACAATCCTTATAACCCACCCAACCTAGAATTCCTATGTGTCTTTTGAATTGGCATGTTTTTAAGCTGGCATGAAGTCATTTTAAAATGTGTTCATTAGTTGTTTTCTTACTGAGTTTAGTAAGTGGTAGCACAGGGATTCTCAGGTTTCATTTGAAGGGAACCATTAATGAATGAATGTGAATGATTTTCAAAGCTGAAGATACTTCATCCCATCTGTAGAATATTGATAAATTTGTACCTACCGATCTGGGTCAGGGAGGTAAGACAGAAGTCACATTCGATGACTTGCTTATTGCCTGAAAATTGTCAGCTATGCTTAGTAAGTCTTAAGTACAGCAGTTTTGATTCTTTGTGAAGGTGCCCAAAATAGTCTTCTTTAGCTTATTTATCGTAATCTCATAAACATATTAAGAGTAGAGCTAGGCAACTTGAGGCTCTTGGCTTGATTTCATGTGGACTTCCTTCCTAGTTGGCTTGGTCTGGGGAAGAGAATTGGGCATTAGCGTGTGCTGGTAATTTGGCATGCCAAAACAAGAAAGCCAAGTACAGCTAAACATGGTTATCATTACTGATGATCTGCTTCCCTTGTTATATCATGATAGGAGAACACTTTGAAATCATATGTCAGTGTTTGCCAAACCTGTTAAGTGTGTGTTGTGCAGTCCTAAAGAACCTACTGCCTTGGAAAAGAAGAACTTATTTTACTTCCTCTGTGGTTTATGCCACGTTTTTGGTCAGATTAATAGTATGTAGGACTTTCAGAGCTGTGTATCTTGCCTTTTTGTCTCTGCTCATAATTTAAAGAACTGGTAGTACTTCCAAGCCAAGAGAGTAAAAAGGCATGAGCAGCTTTACTGGAGAATTTTGAGTTGATTTGATGCTGTCAAGGGAGGAAGTAGAGCTGTGTTTCCTGGAGAAAAGGACCAGGTTCGCTTGTACCATGGTAGGAGTGAGCTGGGGATTGAGGAGGTTAATGAGAGAGAGAAACATCTGGGACAAAGCTTATTGCATCGCATTCTCATACAGCTAATACAGAGCTGCCTTCTTCACACTGAGCACACCTATGCTTGGAGGTGTATAAGTATCCTTGACAGACACTGGATGGGGATGTACATGTCATAGTCTGAAGGATGTGTGGGTGTCTGGCTTTCTGAAGGTTCCATCTGCAGGTCTGTTGGCTTTGATGGGACTCTGTTTCAGGGAGTCGACCATATTGAATGAATAGTAAGAAAAGATTATGTTGTGGTCTCTGACTAATACTATTTTTGTTGTTAGATTGCATATGCCAGAATTGAAGGTGACATGATTGTCTGTGCTGCATATGCTCATGAGCTGCCGAAGTATGGTGTGAAAGTAGGCTTGACCAACTACGCTGCTGCCTATTGCACGGGCCTGCTGCTGGCCCGCAGGGTAGGTATCTGTTAAATCTGTTTAAATCTGTTAAATTATCTGTTAATAATTTCTGCCTCCTAGTTTATTTGGCATATTTTGGAAGGCAGTAATTGCGTTTGAGGGTTTCAGAGTATTGGCTTAAAATCCAGGGTGGGGTGAGAGAATGACAAATCATCACTCCCCTTATCCATTTTAGTCCTTCGGTGTAGATCCCAGGCTATGTACTAACCATGCCCTTTTGGAATGGAATTAAGCAATGCAAATGTTGGCCTAAACCAGTGGTGGCGAACCTATGGTACATGTGCCACAGCGGGCACGCAGAGCCCTCTGTCGGCATGTGAGCCAAGTCGCCCCAGCAGCTGAGCATCGGATAACAGTGCACATAGGGGCCATGTGCATGCTCAGAAAGGAGTAGCGACACCAGGACAACATGAACTGCGACTCACTAGCTGCAACTTGTCCGAGCTTTTGCATGGTCGGTCAGTGCGCTGCCAAGGAGGCAGGGAGGGAGGGAGGGAGGGAGGGAGGTTTGCTTGGACTGGCTGTGAGTTGTTTTTTCTAAACTAAAACCTCAGTATTCAGGTTTTATTGCAGTGTTGGCACTCTGCGATAAATAAGTGGGTTTTGGGTTGCAGTTTGGGCACTTGGTCTCTAACACCATCACTGGCCTAGACAGAGACCAGAACAGTAGCCATAGTGATCTGTGCTTGTTACTTGAGCGCATCCATTACTAGACATTCCTGAGTGTTTTAAAAAACACTGTTGTTACATAACAGTTGTGGCAAACTTTAGTGTGAGGATCTTCTTCCTTTTTTCCATAACTCCTGGGGTGTTCTTTCACTTTCCGGTCAGTACCTTATTTATTTGATTTACATCCTGCCTTTTTTCTTTTAAAGAACCCAAAGCAGCTTACATCATTCTCTTCCTGCTCTCAGTCTTATCCCCACAACAACAGCCCTGTGAGGTAGGTTGGGCTGAGAGTTGCTGACTGGCCTAAAATCACCTGGTTGGCTCCATGGCTGAGCGGAAACTAGAACCCAGATCACCTGAGCCCCAGTTCTGCTCTGAACCACTGCTCCACACTGACTTGTATAGGTTGACTGGCATTGTATCTCACATAGTATAAAGTAGTTGTAAAGAACACCGCTAACCTGATTTGGAATTGTTAACTTAGTGTGCAATTTAGTTGGTTTAATGGGATCAGAAAATTCCTCATGGCACATCCCTTTCAAGAAAGGTCTTAAGAAGATTGGAAAATTCCTAGATGACTGAGTACCTATGATTCCTGAACTGCTTCTGCTGTTACATTTCCAGCTCTTGAAGAGCTAATCCATAAAATATTGCTGGTGCCACTGAATTTGAATTGTGTCCCTGTCACCTGGTTTCCCCAACTCTTGACTTTAAAGGGTTTTTTTCCCCTTCAAATGTGCACACTGTCATTTATGGCCACAGCAGGCCATTTGGGCGTAATTACAAGCTCCCTTCCTAAGAGTCTGGTGAACTGAGGAACACATTTTAATTCTCTTTGCAGCATACCAGATTGTTTGCAGAAAAACTTATGTGAATGATTCCTTTGCAGCTTCTGAACAAATTTGGCCTTGATAAGATCTATGAAGGCCAAGTTGAAGTGACTGGTGATGAATACAATGTGGAGAGTGTGGATGGGCAGCCTGGTGCCTTCACATGCTATCTGGATGCTGGTCTTGCTCGAACTACCACTGGGAACAAGGTCTTCGGTGCTCTGAAAGGAGCTGTGGATGGTGGTCTTTCGATCCCTCACAGGTAACACTGCCCTCACTCCCCAAGCAGACATCTTGGGAAATTGAGATATCTGCTTATTCAGTTGGGTTAAGTTTATACCTGCTGAGCTCACTCATCCTGTGTGTGAGCTTCAAACTACACTTTTTCTGCCTTATACAGACACAACTCTATCAAGAGACACTGCATTGCTTTGTAACCTGAGTTGAGTGCATTTGAGTTTGCAATATTGGTTGTTGCTGCTATTATTATTATCCACCCCATTAGCCCATAGATGTACAATATAAAACATTTACATTAACATAGTGAACATTTTCCTACAAAGCTAACCTTTTAAGATACATTTCCCACAAATCTTCCTAAAATACATTAAATCATAATAAAAACAAGTATTATAAATGGCTTAAGACATAAATTATGGCTCTCACACAAAAGAATAAATACATGAAGCATCTGTACAGATGGGAACTTCTTTCCTATCATACTTTCCTTTTTGGTTGAGACACAGTTCCTGAAGTGTCCACGCTCCCCTCTTATTTAAATCCATGTAGTTAACTTCTCTAGCCTCTTCAACTTCTTTTTTAGCTGGCTTGAAATACTCCTTGGTGTTAGTGTTCAACTTGCTTGTCCAGCCTTAGTTTGCTAAGTCCTGTGGTAAAGCTTGCTTATGCCCTCTCACCTCCATTGCAGAATGTTTTTTCATGAACTGGATGTTTCACGGGAACATCTGATATCAGAGAGTTCTGGATTTTGTGTGATCATTTTGTCATGCATCACTTTTGATTACTGCAGTAAACTTGTATAAAGGATAGGTGTAAGCCATCCTGAGATGTTAGTGGTGAACAGGGTATTAAAGTTTTAAGTAAGTATGTGGAGAGTGGAATAAAACAGGGTGATCTGTTTGTTTTTGCATGATTACTAACTATACTTCTGAAATGATCACCCTTTTCTTGTGTTTTTAATTCGGCTGCTGTGTGATGATATCCCGTTGACTGAACATTCTGTAGTTGGTCCTTGGCATGTGTATGATGGATTTCATTGTTTCAAGACGGGACTGATGGTGGCTGAAAGTCTTGAGTCTGACTTTTTAAAAGAACTTTTCTTTGCAGTGCCAGTCCCAAATCTTGTCAGATTTGCTCAAAACCATATCTGAAACTTAACTCCTGTTTCATAGTACCAAGCGCTTCCCTGGTTATGATTCGGAGAGCAAAGAATTTAATGCAGAGGTCCACCGCAAGCACATCATGGGCCAAAACGTTGCAGATTACATGCGTTACTTGATGGAGGAGGATGAAGATGCTTACAAAAAACAGTTTTCCCAATATATAAAGAACAATGTGACGCCTGACATGGTAAGACCCTTTCTGATTCATTCATTGTGGACTGAAAGTGTGCTCTGCTTGGAATTAATACTGCAGCAATGAAAAAAACATTACAGGAAAGTGCTGTAGATCACTCAGATTTCTGGCCTCACGTTTCTGCAGTTGAGTGAGGGACTATTCATTTTTTCAGTAGATTTATATTCTCTCTCTCTCTCTGTCTCCCTCTCTCTGTCTCCCTCTCAGAACTCAAAGCAGCTTATTCTCCTCTCAAATTTGTTCGTACAACTACTATAACCCTGTGATGTAGGTTGGGCTGAGAATCTGACTGGCCCAAAGTTACCCACTTGGCTCCATGACTGAGCAGGGACTAGAACTCAGATCACCTGAGTCCTGGTCCCCACGCTTAACCACTACACCAGACTGGCTCTTAGCTTTTTCACCACACTAGCTTTGGAATGGGGGCCAAGGTAGAAAGAAGATGGTATACCTGAACAGGCAGGAGCAAAATCCTTGCGTCAGTCTTTTAATCTGTAACTGCAGTGGCTGGGAAAGATAGACATGTATCAACATTTTTGGAGAGCATGGGGCTTTGGCAGGCTGCCTTACATCTCTCAATGTTCATTGTACATGAAGAACTGAATTACAAACCCAGCTTTGCAGATAGCTTGCATCTCTTTCTAACTCCAGACCTCTGATTACTTAATGCGCTAGGGGAAATCTCAGCTTGTTTACTACTTTGTACTGAGCATTTCTTAGCTTGATTGCTTCTATGTCTTAAGGAATAGATTTCGGATGTGTTGGAATGAAGATGTTGCATCAGAATTCATTATAAAACTTCATTTATATAAAAAATCTTTATATAACTTGCCTCTTCCAGAAAAGTCTGCTAAATATATTTTAAATAAAAAACCCCTTTTCTAATTCAGATGGAAGAAATGTATAAAAAAGCCCATGCTGCGATACGTGAGAATCCAGTCCATGAAAAGAAACCCAAGAGGGAGGTCAAAAAGAAGAGGTGAGATTATCCTTTTTGTCCCACTATGAGATTCCATAAGGAAACATTTGTTGCTCAGAGTGCCATGCCAGTGAAATAGGAAAAGCTTTTTGAGTACATTAACATTGGAAGCAAAATGACCTGCTTTGGGAGATTCTAGAAGGGAATGGTTCTTAGCTTTGTGCCAGAAACTTGGATTTTCTGGCACAGTGTGACAGTGTTGTGAAATCTAGAGTGAATTGTACACTTCAAAAGCAGGGACTGGGTGGCTCTCCTGTTCCCGTGTTGCAGCCTGTTCTGCTTCACTGTGGTGCTTCATTCATGGACGTGGTCCTTCCAGGGAGGCATCCATTCGCAAGCTGCTTGCAACATGTGGGTTTTAAGAGAGTTATGTTCCTCTTTTAAAAGATGGTTTAAAGCAAAAAAGAAAGCTGCCTTTTAAAAAGGAAATAGGGGTGGTTTGAGCATGAACAGGAACAAAATGTTTTCTTGCCAGGTGCCTAAAAGGATAATACTGACCATGGGAAAAAGGCATGGCAGGTCCTCTGCTAGAAGTGTATAGTGATGAGCTATTTATATAAGTTTAGCCTTTGCTGAGAAGAGAATATTTACTGCTCAGAATGTTTGTTCAATATTTAGTGTTAACATTTTAGCATACAAATGCTTAAGAAATGATCTGACATTTGTGGACAAAATACCGTTGCTTCTGAAAACCTGAGATACCTCTTTGTGTAAAATAAAGATGGAATATAGGTTAGCTGGGTGAGTAAAATGGATTTCATGTGAATGACACAATGCTAGACTGGTTAGGAGGCAGAGAAATCTAGTAGTGCATACAGTGGCACTTCTATATCTGCTGGTTGAAAATGTTAGGGTAACTAGTGTACCAATTTAAAAACAATCCTGATAAGTACACATCAGCAGTAGTATAGTAAAACAAACTGTTTGTTTGCAGGTGGAACCGTCCCAAGTTGTCCCTTGCCCAGAAGAAAGATCGTGTGGCTCAGAAGAAGGCTAGCTTCCTTAGGGCCCAAGAACATGCGGCTGATAGCTAAGATGCCTTCCATAATTTTCTATGGAGAGTTTGTAAAACAAAATAAACTTATTGAATCAATGTTGTAAGCATTGACTTACTGACACTGAATAATAGCTGCTCTTGGATAACACCGGCTGCTTCCTTCACTTTCACTCACATCATTCTTGTATAAGATGTTGGAGACAGAATATGAAGATAGTTTCACAGCACCCCTTGCTGACACAGTTCTCAAACATCGAACTGTAAAAAAGATCGGTCAGGTCTGTAGAAGCTGATTTTATGGGGTTCTGCTTATCAGTGGTGTATTACATTCATACGAAAGCAATCCTATATCATTGTAAGTCAGGCTGCAGTGCACTGTTACATGATTTCAATAATATGTGAGCAAACTTCAGTGCAGTTTGCTTGGGTATTCTAACCCACCCCAGGGCAAAGGGAGGGCAATTTCTGTACCTTACAAACAGCACTGGAAGACGGAGCAAGATGGATTTCTGTTGTAACATTAGGAAAGGAATTGCTCAATTCTCCTTTTTGTGGTTTTGTTCTAAGTGTCCCTTCAAGAGTCTTGAGAACTGGGGAAACGGTGTCCTAAAATTGCATCTAAAGCTACTTATTCTGGTTCATGCTAGGAGACTGTTAGGCACTGAATGGGTATGTTTTCAGAATTCTTACTCTGTCTAGCTTGTCTAAATTGGGGAATGAAGAGAAGATGCAGTGCCAATAATCACAGCAACCTTTCCTGCCCAAAGAGTTTACTGGCATTGCACTGAGTACCTGGCTGTCTATTTTAATACCATGTGCTGCTTCTACCCATATTACCCAGTAAAATGAAAGCAGCACCTCACCCACACTGAAGTTGAATTGTTTTAGTTTGTGCATACATTCACCTTTCACATAATACAGTACCTTGTAGAAATACTCATCCTATTGACTTTCCTGCTCTGTGGTGTGTTACAGCCTGGAATTGAAACATAAAAGAGAGAAAAAGCTTCCTGCCCAACAGAGCAGCTGACAGGCAGACAGAATCCATTATCTTGCAGGGTAGGCTCTTGATAGCAGTCCTTTCTGTGGGCAGGGAAGGTACAAGGTCTATGTTCAGAGCTGGCCCTCAGAGGGCGCTCTCCCTTTTCCTGAGTATCTGATCTTTATACCATTTGTGCTTGTCTCTGTGGGAAGGATGGGTTTCTTAGCCTTAGGCTAATTGTTAGATGGGTACTTGATTGCTTTTGATGCTCTTACCTTTGTGTGAGCTCTGTAACCATGATCATGTCTATTTGCTAGGTGCTATTGATGTCTCTGAAAATGGGCCATCCTTGCAGGGTTGTATCGCCTAATTTTTGTAAGAGGAAAGACTAACCTTTTCTTCTGCAAGAATTTTAGCATTTGTTATTGACTGTATCTCACAAGGCTTGCCCAGACTACTAGCTTGTTCTACCCGAATTCAAGCCTACTAATATGCCCATAGCCTGAAGGCCTGGTCTGGGAGATTTATGGTTATGCTGATATATACATACTGCACACTGAATTTAGCTTCATCCAGCTTGCCCCAACACAGCAGCTTTCAGCTGCTGCCTGCCTATTCTCACCCTCCAGTATAAGGATAGTTATGGCTCCACTTCTTTTTAGAAAGTGGAGGTGAGATAATACCTGAACTTAATGTAGAACCATTACTAAGAAATCACCAGTAATAGTTTGCTTCTTAGCACATTTATTCAGACAGCAGAAGAGCCTTGAACAAGGGAAAATTAAAATGACTATAAGAGACCAAGGAGATTGAAGCAACTGAATGTTAAATTATGAGGGATTTTAGAATTGTGTTGGGACGGACTGCAAATGTCATCGAGTCATGCTACTAGATGGTGGGCATCTAGTTTTAACTTATAAAAGCACTTTTTATTAAAATTTGGTACTACAGTATACAGGCAGTAAATATCTACATGTATGATATGCAGTATCTTACCAGCAGTTTATATGGTAAGAGTGTGTTCATACGTAAATAACCTTTTACAATCATTTATTTTAGGAGAACTTAAATTGTAAATGGAATTGCTGAATGGAATTAAGCTAAAGTAATGAAAAGGAGCCCCAATATTTATCAGATACCACTTCCCCAAAAGTTTATTTCTGCTAGTGCAGGTTTTACACTTGTGTAAACTGTAAATGTACAAACTAAATGATAGTGCTCTTTAGCAGACATGCACTGCTAAGGACATGCTGCTAAAGAGCACTATCATGACATGTCTTCTCAGTGGCTATGTGTATTCAGGCTGAAAGGCAGAAGAAACCTCTGAAACAACTATCTGGGAGCAAAAGAGGTCAAGTCTGGTCAAGAGGCCTTGTTGACCTAGCACCGTAAGATCTATGTATGACCGAACCCATTAATTAATTAACCCTTAATCTCAGATGCATAAACCATCACCAACATTGTTTATCAAGTCCAACATCTTTAAGCTCTGCATGGCTGGAAGAGAACTCTTACCAGATTGAAGATACCAAAGTGGTTTCCAAGACAGGTAAAAGTAGCTTTCCCTCCTTACCTGGCAAAGTAGCCTTCCCTCCTTACCTTGTTTAGAGCATGAGATTTCTCATGGGATGAAAGCCCTCTTATTAAATATGTAGCTGTCTTTGCAATCCAGGTGATAGTTACCCTCTTGGGTAAACATGAAGAACAGTCATGTGAACAGCCACAAAAGCTTTAGTTTTGTACCGTAGACATATTAAATTAAAACAGCATTTGGCAGCATGTACAACAGACCACATTGTGAGCAGCTGCTATAAGACCCACTATAATGCTGACAGTGCTTTTGTACATCCTAGTTGTGATGACAATATCCTTGCCAATACTTCAGGATTTTAGGAATTTTTGCTTGCCAGTAATTTCCCATCTTGGGGATGAGCAGCTCTCTCTTTGTTTTCTGCATTGTGCAGCTGCACTCTGATGCAAGAGATTACAAGCTTTCAGCCTCCAGCTATGTCCTGTCACGGCAATGTTTTCTCCTGTTTTGTTCAAAATGTATTGTATTGGTTATTTAATAGGACAAGGTTTAGCTTGCTGATCCTGATATATAGGAAGCTAGATAGTTCCTCCCATACATAGCCTAGCAATTTGATGCTGCTCATAGCCAATAGGAGGTGTTTCTCCAAATATTTTTTGTTTGTTTAGGAGTTCCCAGTGCCATTTCTGGTAAGTGGTGGACTTAATGCTCTTTTGTGCATTCGGACTGGATCAAAGTTAAGTACAGGTAACTCGAAACTGGGTTTAGACACATGTAAATTGTTCAGTCATAAATACTAAAAACAGAAAAAGACATTGGTACAAGTTTCATAATACATGGTTTGAAGCCATTTTGAAATTCACCACTGAAACCAACTAATTTGATTCAGAAGAAGCACACCTTAACTAAAACAAAAAACTGTTTCTGAAGTTCTGGTGAGGTGCGGGGGGGGGGGTGGTGGTGGTGTAAGTCTGAGGCTCGCCCCCATTTGTTCATGTTGCAGTAAAACATGGTACATGGTTTAGCATGGTATCTGATTATGGCTAATGTGTTGCTGTAAATACCACACATGGACTATTCTGCCATTACACTCTATTTCATGAGTCTTCTGTTCCAGCAGTTTCATTAGGGGGCAGTATAAGTAGACTAATAGAAGAACGGAGACTGATAGACTGGAAGGAAGGGAGGCAAAGAAACAGATCATTTCTATGGATTTCGTTCCAGCATCCCATTACTGAACCACCAGTGGCCACTTTGCAGAAGTGACGACTTTACCTAATCTGGTCTGTTGCTTCTTCACAGCTAATGTGATCATACATTAAACCAAACTTTACAAAAGGAATATGCAAATATGAAAAAGTTATGTCAATATAACTATGACCATTATTGTTCTTTGTTTTTTTGTATTTGGAAGGATCAACACACCTATTACATCTTTTATAACAACCTGTAAAAGATCAAAATGAGTGCTGCATAACTTTATGCGCAAGAACTATTTACTTTGCCATTTCCAATGACACATTTAAAATTGAAATACTTTTCTTACATTCATCAGCAAACAAACAATCCCTCCGACTACTCCACTAGAAGTTCCTGGCCAATAAACAGTACTATGAAAAAGGGGAAATAGTTCCAGTTTATTGTAAACAGTTCATATTCAAAATGAAAACTCCTGAAGATGGTGTACCAGCAATCAAAATGAAATACAGTACAAACTGCATTGCTAACAAGTTATTCCAAAATTATTTCAAATATCTAGAAATATTTGGCTCAATAACTTTTTCCACTAAGCAATGACTGTAGTAATATTGACATTCAGGTTTACCCAGCATGGGTATGCCTAGTAAGATACAGGATTGTTTAGTGGTTGAAAATATTAAATGTTACCTCTTAAAGAGGATCTCACTCAATTTTTAAAAAAGAGGACATTGTGCAAGAGTATTATTAGTAAAAATATTTACACAAGGCAAAAATGCGCAAAATCCTAGAGCAAATTATTAACACTTCACAAACTACAACAAACAAAAATAGTTTTGCTTTGTAAGTGCATGTGTTATGGCAAAACACATTTTATTGACAAAAAGCATGTCAGATACTAAAAGTCCAGATCAAAAACCTTTTAAAACAAAACTTTAAAATAAAGGGCTTTTATTCATCAACTTCTCCCTCTTGTGACAGAAGTGCAATGAATCAAATGAACAGTGGAAACAGCGAGTTAACATCAAGAGTAATGTGAGAGAGCCAGTGGGGCTTGGTGGTTGGAAGTGATGGACTTACTGATGATGTGAGAGAGTCAGGTTCCAGTTCCCTAGGGCAACTGTGGGCCAGTCATTCATTCTCAGTCCAACCTACCTCACAGGGTTCTGTTGTGAGGATAAAAATGAACTATGTAAGTCACCTTGAGTTCCTTGCTAGAGGAAAAATACAGGGAATACATTAACCCTAACATGAATAATGTGTACAAGTGCCTCACAAGGGTTCTCCCAACTACAAGTGTCATTTCAGCAGATAGGGAACTGGCTGATGCACTGACTTGTGTAATATCAACAGGTAGGAACCAAAGGAGATCAAAGACTACCCATTTGTGATCAGAGTTGCCTTATGTGTTCAGAATGGAGACTACACCCACAGCTCAGGGCAATATGCAAATTTAATATTCCAATGTACCACAACAGTTCTAAAAACCAAACCAGGGAGGGCGCTCTCAAACCACATACCTTACCATTGTCTTGCTTTATTTTTCCATTTTGTAAGTTTAAGGCAAATCCTGCTTCAAAAGTCAACATGCCACACAGTCCTAGAACAAGGGTCAACACTGTAATATTCCAAAACCAACTTGTGAATAATATCTAGATTTTCAAATGGCACATAAAATGCTTGATCCACAGACTAGAATTATTAATTAATTTGACTTTTGGATGAAGTGGCTTGAATTCAATAATTGGTTTATGGATGTGGCTGGATGCCATGCCTTCCCCAGTGTCACTGTCTCAAAGGAAGAGTCTAATTTAGAAATAGAGGGATCTTATTTAGGTCCTAGTCAAGTTTTAGATTTTAGATTGCTGGGAATTTATCTCTGCCTGGTTTCTCTGCCTGCTCCTCCTGCCCTACATCAGATCTAGCCTGGAAAAAAAAGGCAAGACACACCAGTTTGAGAAACATTATTTGAAAAGAGGCCAGACAGGCAGAACTGGCAAAAGGTGCATGCCCAAGGATGTCTCCCAGACAACAGTGCCTCCTGAAAAGATGACAAGAAAGTCAACCAGTTTGGCAGAGTTCTTGGCTCAAAGCTGAATTTTTAATATGGATGCAAGTGAGGAATGTTAGTTGCCCCGAGTATAAAAGCTGGCACACAGGCAAATGAGGTTTATGGGTAGAATGCCACTAATTCCAGACATTCCTTTGCTGGACTACTCTTAAACCCTGAACTATTGCATTCTTTGAATCCCATTCTTTAGTACCCAAATATTAGATTATTTTGCTGGAATTGCAAGAGGCTATTTCTGGCTCCAGTTGAAATTATCTGAATTAATTTGAACATGGGATCACAAAGAACTCTGACCCATGGACTCCAGTGAAGTGCCTGTAACCTGCTGTAATTAAAAAGTTTGCTGTTTCTTTAACATGCGTTTAGTTGTTGATGTTGTGAAGGAGCCAGTCCTGACACTGGGCAAGATCCAGTCAAAAAGATTTCCTTTGATATCAATGCTCAACTCCTTGTGAAATTCAATAGAATTCTACACCCACACTTACTTGGAAGTTATTCCTACTGGATTGTAATGAAATTACTGCAGAGAAAACATGCAAAGAGTTGAACTATTGGATGAGCATACCTTTGCCCTATGGTTTGAAATATGTTAATGAAGCAACAATTTTTACTAGATTAATTACATTAAAATTATGAATTTTACATCCAATGTAGAAAAGTTAGCTTAAGTATCCCCCAACTTCTTGCCTTCACATTGCATAATACTTAATTCTTTGCTATAAATTTGCTTATATTACAACCTAGATGATGACTGTAATTGATCAGTTTACTATAGTGACTTTAAATATTGCTGCAACAGTATGTTTGCATGTGCAACACGCTGTCTTTAAATTCTCAACTGCTAGCATGGTACAATATCTACTTTTAACAAAGAATCTTCAGCAAACTTAGTAACATTCAATGTACGCATGAGGTAAATGTGTATACAAATGTAAAAATCTAACAAAAAGGTTCTGGTTCCAAAAATTTCCAGTTTAAAACATTTTTAACCGTCACACTAATTTTCTTTCTGAAAAATCACTAATGTGCAAATTCTGCCATGTTAAAATTAGTAAATAACCTCAAAAATATTCATTTTATTTATAAATAGTTGCTTGGATTCATTCTACCATGTTCTTTTATAGTAGTGGTGGGTCTTCAGGCCAATACTTGTAAAGTTACTTTTAATTAAAAAAAAAAAAAAAAAGACTTCCATTTTTTTCAAGTACCATGACCATTTTGTATTTTTTTGAGATGTAAAAGAAAAGGAGGAGAAAGATGCAGGGATGGGGAAAGAAGAGACATAGCATTATTTATGCTTGCTTTCAGCTTGCAAACTGGAGTCTCATTTCCATATTCCTTTATGTCAAAAACTCCTTGACTTCAAAAAATTAACATATCAGGGAAGTTAAGCTACAGTCTGAAATGCTACATGTTTCACATGCAGTGAGTTTCTGAAGTGACTAAGTAATCAAATGTGATCTCACACATTCAGAAATAGGACAGATTTCTTGAAACTGTACAAGGTGCTTTTTCTGAATGTTAAAGTTTGGCCCAAAAAGAAAGTATCTATGAAAATACAGTGAACACTATCAAGAAAACTCCCTTCTTAAAGGATCTTAACTTGAGTAAGGGCAGAAGGAGAAAAAGGAACCTGTATTCTTCCCAAATGGGAGTGTTAGAGCCTCATGGGCTTCAGTAGTCTCTGCCAGGCAGATACTTAGAGAACATACAACATTTTCCAACTGGAAAAAAATCACTGTAGTGGCAGTGTTTGAAGGAGCACTGATGAAAGAAATGAGGCTAAATAATATTTTAAAATGTTGATGCTATATCGGAGAAGAAGTGGTCAGCTCCTACAGCAGCAACTATGCTTTCTTCTGAGACAAAGACATTAAGAATCATTTGTATGAGATATTTTCTTCCACAGTAGAGTTTTCAGGTTGTTCAGTATTAAGGAATGTTCCATCTCCATCTGGTTTGCTGAAACTTTCAGGGCAATGCATGAGTAAAGTTGTTTCTCTAATTCTTCATGTATTTCCAGAGGAGCTCCACGGAGCAGGTAGTCTTTGACCAACTGGCACACCTTTGCTAAGTTTGGCTGAATTATTTCTGTGGTGCATTTCATTTTACTTTGGTCACATACAGTTCTACAGTCTGATCCATACACACAGTCCAGGTCAGACTCACAGTGACGATCTTTAATTAGTTCTTTCAAGTTCATTTCTGGCACAATTTTTCTCATATCCACCATTTTTAGGTCATATTTATCATTGTAACCTAGGTTTTTGGCACTCGTATCACACATAAGAAAATTTCCATATGGTCCATGGAAAATGTCTTCAACAAATTCTAGAAGCCCTATGGCTATTTTTGCCTTTCTAGGCCATGATGGAGTAAACCACTGATCAATGCTTCTTCTGAAACCAGATGGAATGAAGAGTTCTATGATCCATGGAAGGCTTATTCCAAAAAGAGAGGTATATTCAACTTTTTCCATCACATAAAGATCCCCACAAAAGCCCAACAATTTGGGAGTATGTTCTTTATCCTGGAGAATTACCATGAGCAGAAATTCATTTAGCTGGAGGAGGGCCCATGCTGACTTTGCTTCTGGCAAGGAAACTCGGCCATCTTTATTCCCATCCGCAACAGACAAGATGAGATTGACCAGCTCGGGAAGGTTCCCCTGCTCACCTAGTTTTGCCTGGAAGAAAGTCATATATTCATTTTTTTTAAAGTTTACTGTTGCCTGATACCAACAGTGAGGTATATGAGCGGTAGAACCTTTACTATTATTAAAATCATGATCTCCGTGGTCAGGACAGATACACAACCATAGGCCACTTGGTACAATCAGGGTTGGGGATTAGTATCTGTGTTAGAAAAACATCTAATCACAATGGTGAGCAAAAAAAAGTTACAATAGTCGCTGGCAGTTCTATAAACACCAGTCATATGAGTAGCACAAGATGAAGAAGCATTTCTTGAGGGGCGGGCATGGTATCAAACAGTCTAGCCTGAACACCTGCCTTTTCTCCATGCACTTCTCGACCTCCAGCAGAGGTAGCTGCCTGGCCACACATACATGTATCAGGAGGCCTCTCGCACATTAGCATGATCTCATCTGACCAAGCACAGCAGCCCCTTTCACATGTCATGCCAGCCCACTGTGCAGAGACCCATAGAGATCTGGTTGCTGCCCACTGAAATTTTAAAATTGTTGTATGGGAATGCTTTTCTAATGTTCCTAATGCTGTTTGCATTTTATACTGTATGCTTATGTGTTGTTATAAACTACCCGGAGAACTTCCGTTATTGGGTGGTACATAAATTAAATAACACTCATGGTGTACCTGACAAATGATGAGGCTCATCATGCATTGTTTGCCTCCTCTTTCTTTCTTCCTTGAACTTCCCATAGGTATGCCAGGTGATATCACAGCAGGACCAAAGTATTTCCCCTTCCCCATCATGATTGCAAGCTGTTTTCAGATCACTGTGGCTTTCTCCTGCTCCCCCTTTTCTTTCTGTGGATTGTGATCTCCAGCTGGACAGTCAGTTTTTGTAATCTCTTTTGCCAGATACTGACAGCCTCTTGAAGGGGCCAAGTAACACCCTTGAGGGGGTGTCCACGGCTGCAAACCAAGTATGGGAGGGGCACCCCTTAATGTGTGCCAATATTTGTTTAAAAATAGTTTGAGGGGCTTTTTACAAGTATGTTATATAAAATTATGGAGGTCCCACAATGGGAAGCCTCAAGTGGGCAAAGAATAGGAGTAGTTGCTGGCAACGTGCAGCAGGAACCAAGCCTGGCCAATGACCCAAAGAAGCTCCAAATGGCCTTTTCCCACTCCCAATAAAACAGACAGTGCTTAGTATTGTTATTATTTTTAATTGCAATGTTGCTGCAAGCGTAACAGGTCCTTAGGTGCTCAGTTTAGGACCACAAAGCAATGCCTACAGTTAACGTAGGAGATTTATGGATATTGTCAGTTTTTAAGCTTGCTAGCCACAGCTAGAGAAATAGACGAGAACATACTCACTTTAAAAAGGCCATACACCATCTCCTTAAATTTCTGAACAGTCGTTCCTCTTGTTGGTTTATCAAAAAGAATAGTTTCCTTCCTTGGTTCTAGTTCAGTTCTGAGATCAATGTGAACATTTTCTTCCATCTGGCATTTTATAACGCCTTGTAGATTAGCCCATGTTCCTAAATACATCTGTACAAGACAAAAGAGACCAAGACTGTGAACCAGAATCTCTTTTGGCATCAATGCTCTGTCCTATTAATAAGTGCTCTTGCTTGTTGCTAGTCACGAAGTCACGTCTGACCCATCGTGACCCCACGGACAACATTCCTCCAGGCCTTCCTGTCCTCCAACATCCCCTGGAGTCCACCTAAGCTCACACTGGCTGCTTCAGTGACTCCATCCAGCCACCTCATCCTCTGCCGTCCCCTTCTTTTTTTGCCTACTTACCAGCATACCAAGATATAATACATTCACATAAGGCAGACTGAAAGCAATGGCATGTGTAAGTGAAATGGGCATTTCAAGATATAGTATTATAAGGCTTATTTTTTAAAAATTCTATTAAAAGTGTTTAACAGAAAAAACATGCCATCTACAGTGGCATCAGTTCCTCTGCTATGTTACATTTTGCTTCAATGGTGGTAGATAGAAGATTATGTGCTGTATTGGAAGGCATATTATCCATACCATCAAGATATCTGATGTGTCATATGCACTATACCCACTCCTTTTATGGGATGTTAACTTAAGAACATAAGAACACCATGCTGGATCAGGCCAAAGGTCCATCTATTCCACCATTCCATGTACACGGTGGCAAACCAGCTGCATAAACAATCCCTCAAGCAGGATGGGTGTAAAACTTCCTCCTGCCCAAGCTCCTCAGAAACTGACAGGAGGTAGCACATAGCCACAAGGCTAGTAGCCACTGATAGCCTCCTTCCTCATGAATCTTTCCAGTCCCTTTTTAAAGCCATCCAGACAGGCAGCCATCACCACTTCCTGGGGCAGCGAATTCCATAGTTAATATGCTGTGTGAAGAAGTACTTCCTTTTATCTGTCATAAACCTCCCACCAATCAGCTTCATGGGATGACCCCAAGTGTTATGGGGGAGGGAGGAAAATATCTCCTCTACTTTCTCCATTCCTTGCATGATTTTAAACATCTCTATTATGTCTCTCTTTACTTGCCTTTTTTCTAAGCTGAACAGTCCCAGTTGTTCTAGCTGCTCCTCATGGGGAAGCTGCTCCAGCCCCTTGATCATTTCTACTGGCCTTCTCTGTACTTTTTCCAACTTAATAATGTCCTTATTCAGGTAAGGTGACCAGAACTGAACACAATTTTCCAAGTGTGGTTGCACCAAAGATTTATATAAGGGAAGTAAGGTTTTGGCAGTTCTATTTTCTGTTCTGTTCCTAATTAGGCCTAGCACAGACTTTGCCTTCTTTTACAGCAGCTCAGCACTAGGTTGACATTTTCATTGAGTTGCCCGCTACTACCCCAAGATCCCTTTCTTGCTCAGTCACTGCTAGTTCAGATCCCCTCAGTGTATACTTGAAGCTGGGATTTTTTTGCCCCAAGAAGCATTATTCTGTATTTGCTTATAGTGAACTACATTTGCCTTTTGAACCCATTCTCCCAGCTTTGAGAGATCCTTTTGAAGCTCTTCACAATCCCTTTTGGCTTTAACCACCCTAAAAGGTTTAGTGTCATCAGCCAATTTGGCCACTTCATTACTTATTCCTAATTCCAGATCATTTATGAATAGGTTGAAAAGCACTGGTCCTAATACAGAAACCTGCAGGACTCTATTGGTTACATCACTCCATTGGGAGAAATTGCCATTTATTCCCACCCTCTGTTTTCTGCTTTTTAACCAGTTAGTATCCATAAGAGAATCTCCCCTGTATTCCAAGACTGCTTAGTTTGCTCAGGAGCTTTTGGTGGGGGACTCTGTCAAAAGCCTTTTGGAAGCTCAAGTAAACAGTGTCAACTGGATCATCCATGTTTATTGACACTCTCAAAGAACTCCAATAAATTAGTGAGACAAGACTTCTCCATGCAGAAGCCATAGTGATTTCTTTTCAGCAAGGCTTGTCCCTCTATGTGCTTACTGATTCCGTCTTTAATAATGCTTTCAAGCAGTTAACCCAGAACAGATATAAAACTAACTGGCCTGTCATTTCCTGGATTCACCCTGGATCCCTTTTTAAAAATTGGTGTTACATTGGCCATCTCCAATCCATTCTCCAGTTAATCCATTCACCACCCGCTCAACACCGCCGCTGCCGCAGACCCCAACCCTCCTGCTGACGCCGCTGCTGCCCGAAGGACGAATGGCAGCCACAGCAGGACCAGGAATTGGGACGTTGCTGGCCTGCGGGCCCTCCATCCTGCCGGTGAGTTCTCCGCGAGCCCTGCCCTTGCCGCTCCCCACCGGCATGGGGGGCAGCTGCCCCGGATTGGGGGTGGGGCGCTGGGAGGGGCCGCAGCATTAACTCACCGGCTGCGGCTGAGGGTGACGGGTCAAAGGGTGTTGCTGCCGTTCGAGGCTGTGCAGGGGCTGGGCTGGCCAGAGACTCTGTGTGTGTGTGGGTGGGCTTTTGTAATTGGGTGGGTTGGAGGGTTTTAATTGCATTTTAATTGTATTTTATTGGATTGCTTTAATAGATTCATGTCTGGCTGCTACTATGGGGTTGCCTGGGGAGCGCGTGGGCGCCACCATTGGGGTGGTCTTGGGCAATGGTCGATATGGAATTGGGGGTCTAATGTGTCAGCATAGAAGAAGGAGGGACAGATGGTTGACACCTGTTCCCCCTTCTGGTTATTCCTCCAACCGGAAGGTTCCGGGTAAGCTTATCAACCGCCCCTTGGGCCTGACAGTGCTGTTGCTTAATGCCAGGTTGGTCCATAACAAAACATCCCTCGTCCATGATTTAATTGTGGATGAGGGGGCCGACCTGGCTTGCATTACAGAGACTTGGGCGGGAGGGGGGGATGTGTCCCTCTCTCAACTGTGCCCGCCCGGGTATCTGGTCCAGCACCAGACACATCCGGAGGGGAGGGGAGGGGGGTCACTTTAATCTACTGAGCTTCAATTTCCCTTGTAGGGCTTCCTGTTCTCTCAAGACTGGGACTAGAATGCCTATACCTGGCATTGGGCGACCGAGACAGATTGGGGATTCTACTGGTGTACCGTGCACCCTTCTGTCCATCAGACTCCTTCCCTGAGCTGATGGAGATCGTCTCAGACCTGGTGTTGAAGACCCCCAGGATGTTGGTCCTGGGGGACTTCAATCTCCATGCCGAGACTGTGCTGACCGGGGCGGCTCAGGACTTCATGGCCTCCATGACAGCCAGAGGGCTGTCTCAACATGTCACAGGCCTGACCCATGAATGTGGACACATGCTGGACCTGGTTTTCTCAACAGGGCAGGAAGAGGGTGATCTGAGGGTGAGGAATTTGTGACTGACTCCCTTGTCATGGTCAGATCACTTCCTCATGAGGTTTGAGCTCGATGCCGGCCTTTCCCTCTGTAAGGGTGCGGACCCTACTGTGTTGGTCCGCCCTCAGAGCCGGATGGATCCGAATGAATTCCTGAAGGCTCTGGGGGAGTTTCCAGTTGATAAAGCTGGCGCTCCTGTTGATGCTCTGGTTGAACTATGGAATGGGGAAATGGCCAGAGCTATTGACACGATCGCCCCTAAGTGTACTCTCCCGTCCAGCAGAGCCTGTTCATCCCCATGGTATACACCTGAACTATGGGCGATGAAGCGGGTTGGGAGACGTCTAGAGCGTAGGTGGAGGAAATCATGAGATGAATCTGACCGAACACACTTACGAGCTCATTATCGAGCCTATGCTGTGGCGGTGAGGGCGGCGAAGAAGAAATTCTTCTCCACTTCCATTGCCTCCTCACAGTGCCGTCCAGCGAAGCTCTTTCGAGTGGTACATGGGCTGATACATCCTGGCCCTAAGAAAGATCCCGTATCACCCTCGATGGCCCACTTTGACGACTTTGCCCAGCACTTTAAGAAGAAAATCGCTCAGATTTGTCACGAGCTGGACTCCACAAGTGATTCAGATCCTCTAGGGGAGGTGCCAATGAATCCGTCCGGTCAGATATTATTGAATGAATTTCAGTTATTGTGGCCTGATGATGTGGACAAGGTGCTTGGACAAGTATGTCTCACCGCCTGTTTACTTGACCCTTGCCCGTCGTGGTTGCTGACCAAAGCCAAACACGGGATTGGTGCCTGGATCCCGGAGGTCATTAATGCCTCTCTGAGGGACGGCCAGGTGCCTGCTCCTTTAAAGGAGGTGGTAGTCAGGCTGGTCCTAAAGAAGGCGTCCCTGGATCCAGAGATGGCTGCCATTTATAGACCAGTGGCCAACATTCCATTTTTGGGCAAGGTTTTGGAATAGGTGGTGGCGGGAAAACTCCAAGCACTCTTGGATGAAACTGATTATCTGGACCCATTTCAGTCCAGCTTCAGACCCGGGTATGGTACTGAATCTGCCTTGGTCGCCCTGTATGATGACCTGTGCAGGGAGAGAGACGGGGGAGTGTGTTCCTGTTGGTCCTCCTGGACCTCTCAGTGGCTTTCGATACCATCGACCATGGTATCCTTCTGGGTAGGCT